TCCTTTATATTTCGGCTGGGAATTACAATTAAGAGGTAATTTTTGGCAAGGACCCTTTTTTAAGGACGCTCTATTCGAAAATGGCGCCAAATCCCATAGTTTCTCACATTTATTCTTTTGTGACGTCACACTTCAGGACTCTATTGATATATTACTGGCATTGCGCATGCTCTGCAGGGGGCGCTATCGTATTTCCAGATACGTTTTGACGGGGCCTTAAACTTTGAAAAACACTAGATTTCCGAAATATACCCACTATCGTTGCCTTGAGAAGACGGTCAGTTGTTTAAATCATAGATTAACGTGTTCCTTGTAAACATTACGAAAAGCCACAAATTTTTATCACAATTGCTCATAGCCTTGGGGGTAAATTGGGTTAAGTATACACAAAAGTTTATAGTCTATTACTCAACAACTGTATCTGGGGTGATCACGACTTTGGAGACAAATTCCGGTATTTGGCTTAAAACCGTAACTGGTGTAAAAGCTTCCAGATGATGTTTTCTTAAACTTTTCATTATTTGATTGAAGTGTAACGACGAACATTTCCACACCTGCTTCCAGTTCCTTTCAATTCAGACAATATTTAAATAAAGTAAGTCAGGTGAATTTGAAATAATCAGTCTTATTTTTAGTTCAAGATAACGTCAACAGGGCTTTTCGGTTTAGTAAGTACCGATAAATTGAATACCTTTTTATCGTCGGTANAGTAAGTCAGGTGAATTTGAAATAATCAGTCTTATTTTTAGTTCAAGATAACGTCAACAGGGCTTTTCGGTTTAGTAAGTACCGATAAATTGAATACCTTTTTATCGTCGGTATCTATATTTGATTATGCCTCTTTTAGATCTGTAATTTACAAAATTTTTCAGTTTCAATTCAGTTGTGAAATTGTTTCAACACACTAGGTTTAACCAGTAGCTATATAAAAAGACTTGAATTAACTGTTTCAACGGGATACATAATAGTAACGTGAAATAAATGTTGCTTGTAAATGCAGATAAAATGCGTGCCTTCTGCGTATATAACTTATTTATTCCTGTTCGGTGTTATTCCACGTTAATTTAAATTTGTTGACACTGAGCTTGGGGGACAAAAGATTTATTTTCCCTTCTCAAAGTCATTAACCTGTTAATCTGAAACAGAAACCACTTTGCGATATTACGTTCGGCAGCATTCAGCATTTGAATTCAAATCCTTAGTTCAATTTAAGATAAAGGATTGTTATGTTTTCTATAAAAACGCATAGAATTGTTCCGTATAATTTTCATAAATTAACAATCCATTTCAACTGCTACATGCCATTAAATTAATAATTAGGTTAGTTATCAGTTTTCTTATCATCTCTCCGACAATAAGGTTCAAAGACGAAATTAGATAATCTAATAATATTGCACGCAATTCAAAGGAGATCGTGGTTGATTGATGAAATAACGCATTCACATTTTCAACCTTTGTTTATCTATATTATGAATAACCGCTTTGGTTGTATAGTGGCAACGATAAGTTTTTAACTACCATGCTTCATGAAAAATTGTACATTGGCCACTAAGTATATTTCAGTAAAGTGCACTTAGTTTACAAAGTTATCTGTAACGGTCCAGATAAAAAGCAGACAGTACCTGATAATTTCTTGATAATGATGCGCGCTGCGACTTTATTTTAATAAAATATCTGACCAGTTGGGACTATATCGACACCTCGGGCACCTCTCGAGTACAGACGAGATTAAAATAGGACTTATCGGACTCGTTGGGCTTAGTATGTTGCAAGGCGAATCAGTTATTGAACAGAAAATGCGTTTTATTCCACATATTTATTTGAAACAGGAATACTGGTCGTCACACGCTTCAGAAAGTCGTCGGTTTCTACCCTGTGTTGACCGAGAAAAAATAGCGAAAATTTATTTCCGTTTCTTTTTTTTTTCGGTAATTTTAACGTGTAAAATAATAATATAGGTTGAATTTTTGGTTAGTACCACAGTTATTACGTTTGGATTCGCTGGCCACTTTGTCGGTTATGTTAATATTATCTGTATTGTGCGGAAATAGATTTCAGTCTGTACAAAAGTTTTTTTCTAAGGCATGTTTGGTAGTCGGATATCCGTCAATCACAACTGCTTAGCAAGCAATCTCGAGAGGGTGAACTTTGTGAAATGCTTTTGACAAAAATTCTGATTGATCATTTTCTGTCGGCCAAGAAGACAAACCTTACTCTTATCTACCATCATAATTTTGTTCTAAAAGAAGGTGGCGGACTTTTAAGAGTCAAATTAGCTTTATGCATATTTTTTGACAGATTTACATCAGCTTTTGTGATAAAATAAAACGCATTTTCACTGACGTCTTGGGGGATAAAAGTATTACTTCAGGCTGTCAATTTTGAGAGTTTACCACAAAGCGTGGTACTCTATCGTACATTTCAGCCGCGTATAACTCTCGTTGCATGTCGTTCTTGTGAATGCGATATCGAAATAACGTTTGACATTCTCAACAAACCAGCATCTTGGCAAAGGCTTCAAATGACTTTTTGTTGGTACGCCAGTTTACATTTGGCATCGTTTTTGTGGAAGGGAAACTGAAACGACATCTTTGAATACGCTACCAAAAATTTCAATTAAATTTTCTACCAAGATCTTTTTCTGTAATAGAGGAAAGAAATAGTTTTTCAGCCTTGCTCAAAGCCACGTGAATCCTCAAAATGATGTGGACCGTATTTCACGAGCACGTATGTACCTGCATGATAATAAAATGATGTACATTTTTTTAATTGAAATTCCATTTAGTGTCGATAATTACTTAAAAGAACTTAAGCAGAATCAAAGAATTAAGGTACGTCATTTGTTACGATAGAAACAGGTGTTAATTTTTCTAGATATTTTTAATTTAGGCTTTCCGAACTTGTGTGGTTGTGACAATTAACAATATTTTAGCCTAGCTCGGATTCATCTTGGTTTATTCTATTAATGTGTCATGTGTAAGACACCAAAAAATAATATTAATATTAATATTAATATCAATATCAATAATAAATATTAATAATTATATCAATATTAATAATGGTAATTGAACTGAGTGGAGTGCAATTTGGTCTGAAATCATACGAGTGATTTCAAAATCGAACGAGCGCGCAGCGCGAGTTCGATTTGAAATCACAAGTTGCTATTGCAAGTTATTATTGTTTTCATTGCAATTAGGTATTGCTAATGCTGCAAATGGCCAGATAACCAAGAGTAACAAATTAGATGTTTTTCAGTTGTTCGCTATCAATCATGGCTCTCATTCATCTCAACCGAAATTCACATGCAGCAACAATATGGCGATTTTCTTATATACAGTTGGAATCATGAAACACTTAGTGTTGAAAATAGTTACACTTGAACTATCACAAAATTATTTTGGGTCAAAATAAAAGCAGATGTCGATTACGAAACCACATTTTACGCAGCAGCAATATTTTTCGTTGGTTTGATTTTTTAACTTTAATTAGTAGAGATAATATATTCTGTAAAGTAACATTATTTTTGACAGGAGTCCAATATAAGCAATGGAAACAATTAAATTTCTTTTGTCTCTTTTAATTGTCAATAAAACTCAATTTCTCCGGCAGTTCGTGGGGTTCGTTCTGTCACGGTAATTTAAACTGATCATGTTAAATCAATAAAGGAAAACGGGGATAAGCTGAATTATGATCGTTATATTGGCTACAATTCTTTGCTGGTCCCTTAAAACTGGATAAAAAGGAAATAAAATCTACAAATTTAGTAACTCCATTGGAGAGTAGCTAACAGACATTTTTTAATTGTTGACAAAAATGGTGAAAAACTTCCACATATCATGAAACAGCATTTTAAGACTAAATCTTTGAAAACTGATTTCGAAGATAAAGCGTTGAAGGCGAGTTTTCCATAGCAGAAAGGTTTTTGAAAAAAAAGGTCCTTTAAATTTAATTAAATCGTTTTCTTGTAAATATGTGTTTATGGTCGTAAAGGTGTTAAGTCATATTCCATGTTTGTTCCTAATATATTTTTCAATACCATGCAGACATTAAAACAAAGGATTTTAAAGCTCCCCCGCTGAAACTACCTACTGACGACGGAACAACAAGAAATAAACGAATTTAAAAAAAATGCTCTACTGACAGGGCCACTTTCGATTGATTAGAATGTAATAGTTAGACTTAAGAAATTATCTGCTGAATTCAGTGAGTTTGTGTTTAAAAAACTAAGAAAATCATGTAAAAAGGTAGTCCACAAATTCTTGATTTAATGACATTACCTCGTGTCAGCTCGTCAGCCAAACAGAACCCGTTTAGCGGAAGTGTCAATTAGCATTGTAGGTCAACATGTTTGCCACAATATTCAAACTTGACGTTTCTTTTACAGAGACCGAACTGCAGTTAAACTGCAATATATTGGATTGTGTCCAGTGTAGACTGCACCGGACATTGGGTCGTTGGCGATGGCTTGGCAGCCCTACAGGCGAACCTGCAGCCCATTTTTGCTGATTCTATGGATTTTCACCCTCTTCAATAATGTGAAAGGAGGTCCAAGCGATTCAATTGTCACGAAGGCTCGATGTTACGCAAACTGCCTCACTGAGGTAAACTTGCCTTTCAATATACTTTCTCAAGAAGTCGTAACGTACTCTTACTAACTTATAGGTCTAAATCATTCTAATCAAGCAACAAACATTTCGTGAATATTCAAGTTTCAGATGGAGAATTTTCTAAAGCTTCTTAAAAGTTCTTAATTGTTTTTAATTTATAGGCGACTTTCGAAAGGTCCCATATTATTGATACCTCTGATAAATGAATGCTACAGATTACAGACTACCGTATGATCTCAAGTCTTTTCAAACTCGCGCAACAAAAACTAAATCATATGGATATACAACAACCATGTTTGAGCTAGCAAACCAAGTCTTATTTCCTCAGCAGGTTTTCACCCGGCTAAATAATCAAATAAGCCGGGCAAATATGCGGTATCCGCAACATATGACGTATACAGGCAGAATAACACCCGGGAACATATTTTCTTCCCTTGACGAACTAAACGTTTATGAATTAAGTCTTCTGAGTTGTAATGAAAATGGATTTGATGTTACCATTTCGGTTAAAACTTAATCATTCTAGAATTTGGCTGAAACGTTTATGATTAATATTGGTATTGTGCTTTTAAAGATTAGTATTGGCTGATGAAATTCACAGTGACCACGAATTTGCAATATCTTTTTCTTCTTTCCGCTGAAACATGAGTCCAAGCTACGACAGGTCTCGTTTATTTCTGCCGGAAAAAAAGTCCTTGTTTTAATTTTCTTTAGGTGTCAAATTAACGATAATTACTTACGTTTATTGAAAGCCGGATTAAGCATTGTGTTTAACGTGGTGTAATTGCAGCGCTTCATTCTTATAAATCAAGAAGCGGATATCAAGAAATGATTATCACTCAATAGAAGCAGTTTACGTACATTTTTTTTGCGTGTACGAACTGAAAAGTCAAAGAAAATACGACCTTCTTGTAAAATTTGCTGAATTAAGCATTAATGGCAAAGTCAGTTTTCATTTACTTGAATACTTTCATGACAAATTTTGAAATGAAATCGTTTTTAACTCTCCTACATTCATTTAAAAAAAAATCTATCTAAGTTCTTTAATTTTGGGTAGTTTTATTGAAATCATTTATTGGGCTTAACGAATATTTGCATTTTTGGCAAGAATCGCCTTAAGTTACGCCGCTCTATTACAAATACGGTACATTTCGTTTGAACAAGGTGGTTAGCTTCTGCAGCTTGAATAAATAAATGGATTAATAACTAAATTTTAGACACCGATTGCTTAAATACAAGAGTTCACGAACGACCAACTGGGTAATTTTCACATGATAATCTACAATAAATGGGTCAAAATGAAATTAAGTTTTAGGATGTCACTTAATGAGTTTGCCACAAAAGTAAACGTTCGGGTTGGTTTCTCGCTTATTGTAACACCTGCTATTTGTTAAAAAAAATAATTGCAATTTTCCCAAATTCGGAACAATTTTAATTTCGTTTGAGTTATTTTGATGATGGAAATTTCCTTGGGACAAACAGCATACATAAATAAAATTACAGCGGAATTTTCTATCCCCTGAATCGTTGTACGTTTTAAACGTAACCAGACTACATTATATAGCGAAGGGCTATGATTTTTATTTGTTAATTTGAAACATGATAGACTTCATTCATTTGACAAAACGTGTAAGCCAAATGTAGAAGGATTTCATACAAAACAGTATGTTTTGTTGTGATTCATTTTACATTCATCCTTGATTTAATATATTTAACTATTTCCGAAGCTAAAGAGTTTCTATAGTTACCTTACAGCTTATGCGGTTGGGTAGTGAGCGCAACGTATATTCCCTCAAAAAGTTATGCACTGGTATTTTCATTTCATGTACATGGTTGAAACTAAGAGCGAATCATCACGAGAACTCGCCCGAGAGGAACTGGTTAAGAATAACGGAAGGAAAGACAACAGCTAAAAAAATTCTAAAGAGTAGTATTTCAACAAACAATGTCTCTCATTAAACATATTTTGACTTCGCCACGCAACCTAATACAATTTTTGTTAAATTTAAAGTGAAAGGATTGATCCTACTCTAGCAATACTGTTCGTTTTTTTTTTCGGTTAAGAACGTTATACATATACTTGCGTCACTACAGCATCAGCCTCCAGGTTACATTGGCTAAGGGTTGTCTACGAAATGGCGTCGTTTTCTCGTTTCTACAAAGCTTCGAAGGAATATTTAGAAATTATATTGGAATACTTAAGTCCCCCAAAAAGAATAGAATGTCATTAAGCGTGAAGCGACTTGCAAACCTCAAAATTGCTGGATGAACAGATGAGCGCGCGTTTCAAATACCACTCATAGGTTAAGAAATGACTAAAATCATTGTTTGAAGGAAATTTACTCAGAACTCTACTAGGAGAAATGACAGCTGACAGGTGACAGATGACAGATAATTCGCCTTTCGGTCTCCAGCCTTATCAGCTGTCATCTCATGGAAATCGAAGGCGAATAATCTAATATATAGATTTAGGCCAGCCTGAAAGCGAAGCTCCTGGGCCGGGTTGTTCAGAGTCAAATTAAGCTGACCCCAAAAAAGGTAGAATTTTAATTGGAGTTTTGTAACTTTACGTTGAGGTTTTCTGTATATTGTTTGGCCTTCTGTTTTGAGTTTTAATAATCACTATATACACAAAACAAAGCAGCGAAAACCATTTGTATAGAGGAAAAATATATATCGCGGTTAACTTTTAATCCTGGGTTAGCGTTAACCGGCTTCCGAACAATCCTGCCCTGTTTTCAACAAGTTAACCCGAGATGAGCCCGCGATCCAATCGAAAACCAGCACTTGGTCAGCGTTTAACTTCAAAAAAACACGCGAGCTGTAATGAGCTGTAAACTTGATCCCGCGATATGGTCACGTGATACTGGTCAGCGGATACCTTGTTTTTACAAGTGTCAATTGATCATAACATGGATGTCCAATATCAAAGAAGTACATGGTAAGCCAAGGCTGCATGTCTCTGTCAACCTATTA